GTACTCTTAACCATTGAACCAGTTCCCTAGACCTGTTAACCAATTACATTTTAACTGTTTGGCCATTATCTTATTACCATGACCCATTTCTGTCTTTAGCCTTTAATTCCCAGATTTCTTTCCTTGAATCCCTCAGTGAGTTTCCGTGCTAGGCTGTGTCTTCTCCTTTCTCTTCCTGATGGCTCTGCGGGCCCACTTAGGACCAACATTGTCAGTTTCATTGACCATTTGTTTTACTGTCACCAATCAGATAACTTTGAAGTTTACTTCCCATTTTCTCTTGGTATCCTTTAGTGTTCAGGCACCAGTGTGTCTCTTACCTTACGTCTTCATCTCATGCCTTCATGACTCCTGTTGAACATAACATACTTGTTGGCCCTATTGTGGAGTGCACCCTCTGTGTTTTCCCCATTGCAATCGGTGTTCCTCACTCTTGGCCCTTCTAAGGCATGTCCTCCTTGTCCACCAAGGTATTTGGTATACTTCTGCCTCCAGCACAACCTAACATTTATTTTTCTTCCCTTTGTTTCCAAACTTCTTTTTTTTTTTTTTTTTTTTTTTTTTTTTGGTTTTTCGAGACAGGGTTTCTCTGTGGCTTTGAAGGCTGTCCTGGAACTCACTCTGTAGACCAGGCTGGCCTCGAACTCACAGAGATCCGCCTGCCTCTGCCTCCCGAGTGCTGGGATTAAAGGCATGTGCTACCACCGCCCGGCTGTTTCCAAACTTCTTAAAGGAATAAGTAAAACAGGATACCAGCGAGTTGCGTTATGTTAATATACTCAAGCCCACTGTTTTTATAATCTGGTTTCTGTCCCTCTACGCATGGAAATTAGCAAGAGTACTTTGCCATCACTGACACCTCTATAGCAGTCAACATGTTAGCCATGGCATTCCTTGGAGCTGTCCGTCACTATGGTCTCTTGTCCATAACTGGTTGTTTTGCCTCCTGTTTTTCTGTGCTGGCAATCCAACCCAGGGCATCACACGTGCCAAGCATGTGCTCCGCTACTGAGCTATGTTCTCCTTTTCTTTTATGGAAACACCATCCTTAGGCTGTCTTCCAATGATGGCTACTCACCAAGAGTCTTCCAGCCTTGTCTTCCCTGCTTATCTGCTAATGACTTCACTTCCTGTGGTTTCAAACACCCTCTCATTATGAGTCATGACAAAGTCTGCATTCAAGGCCAGTCCTTTTCCTGAGATTTCCTCATGCTGGATTCTACCATACTGATTGCACTGCACACTCTAACAGGAGAAAGTTGAATACATTATTGTTTTTGTGACAAACTAGATTTTTCTCCCCACATTCTCTTTTCATCTATTCTTGTCACAATTATTGCAGTTACTCCAACCTGAAACTTGTGAATGATATTTGAGTGTATGCTCTCCCTTCACTGTCCTGTTGGTGAATGGGGCTTGTGGGTTTTCATTTCAACTGCTGTCATCTCCTAAACCATTTGTCTTCTTCATTGACTTTAGAGAATCTAAATGTTGTAAGTTCAGTGTCTTGTCCAGAGTGAGAGTTCCTAACCCCTGTGCTAGGAAGTAAGCCATGAATAATCTAAACCAAGCACAGTAATCCCATTCGGTTCTGAGTGATGCAGCTTAAAGAGATATTAGTTAGAAGGCCTGTAGAAGGGTTTGGCTCCTGTGGGTAGTAAGCTCAGAGGGAGGCCTCGGCCACTGCTTCTTGCCTTGACTGCCTCTGTCTTAGAGCCACAGCAGCTGCCTTGGACAGTGAGGTGAGGGGCAGGACAAAGAGCCAGTTAGCTGAGGACCACGATAGAGAGGGAAGACAGAGGAGCCTGTGTCCTTCCTGATGTTGTGTAGACACTATCGTAGTATTCGGAGATACTCATTTTAGCCTTTCTTGTGAAGAGTTAATTAAATGTCTTCATTTTTTTTGAGTCACAGTTAATTACTGAACTGATCCTTGTGACTGAACTTGCATTCATGTTGATAAATTTCCAAAATCCCTCTCCAGTTTTTAAAAGTCTGCTATGTTCCTCTTGCTTCTTGTCTCGGTTTGCAGCTATGTAGTTATTTGATTCCCTTTGTGTATCCTGTACTGGATAATACTGTTGAGGGTAGGATAAGTTTAACTTTGCAAGTTCTTTATTATATAACACAGGGCCTGGCATTAAATGGATGGTCAGGAAATAGTTATTGGAAGATTAAATGAAGAAACAAATGAGTGGAAGTGATACCTAGGAAATGAGTTATTTCTGAGATAATAAATGAGACAGAGTGGAGAGTGCTGGTTTTATTATTAATGATGTAATAGTGGATGATTCAGATACCACACCTTGACCCTTTAAAGCCTAAGGCCTTGGAAATGAGTCTGTTACCCCATTGGCTGAAGGCCCAGGAAATAGAAGACTAGAGATTGGAATGAGGTCAGACTTTGGAGTTGCCAGCCTTTAAATGTGACCCATAGGACTGATCCCACATTCTGCTTCAAGTTCTTACTTTTCTGCCCTCCTCCAGAACTCCAGGGAGGAGTTCAAAGCGTGTTTCTAATAAATTGATTAGTGTAATAACCAAGACTGGCCCAGGCAACTGGATGGTCATGGCTCCTAATCTGCATTCAAAATCTAGTTAGTGTGTTTCAGATGGCAGTTAATGACAAATGGAAAAGGAGCTCTAACCCTGCCCAGAGTGCTGAAGAAATCAAGACTTTGTTCCGGGGAAGGAGGCACTGTTTGCGTAATGAACCTGTCCTCTCTCCTTTCTCTTGAGTCCATCTCTGTGATGGACGCCTGCGTCCCCCACATTCTTTTCCCGCTGTCTTCAGACTCTTCTCCGTTGAATACTCCTTTTAATTTCTCCCTTGTCTGCCTCCAGCGCACAAAGGTCTTTTCCCTATCTCCAGTTTTTTTATCTTCTATGTCCAGCATGTGTTGCCTGGACCCCTAAACCAACTCTTCAATACACTGGCTCCTTTGTAGCTCACCACATTTTCATTTATTTCCTCAACAAAAATGAATGCTTTGGAGGAGTAGGAACGGGTGCCCAAGTCCATAGCACTTTACAGAGTGGCTGCTTCAAGCATAAATGGTCTAGCCCCAAAAAAACTAAAATCGCTAAAAATCAGAAGAAAATGAAGTCATCTGGAGCAGAGGACTTGTCATTTCTATACTTCATTTTGTTTCTTTTTTTCTACTAAATATATATAATTTTTACAGTTATAAAACAGTAACACAACAAAGCAGAGTAGTAGACCTGGGGGATTTCTGTGTCTAATACATTTTCCAAGAATACCTGGAAATGCTAGATTAAATACTTAAATGTTCTTCACATGCTCATCAGCAGTCAGGAACTAGTAGGACAGTTTCTTTGCATAACTTCAGGGAAAATTAGTTAACTTCAAACCTTTATGTGGTAGCTCTGAAGGAAAGTACAGAAATCCTAAGTCTAAAATTGAAATCCTAAGAGGCACAGAGCAGTGGGACAAACAGATGCCTTGGGGACATTACCATCCTCCAGGTGACGGAGAGCTTTCTGTTTCAGTTCAAAAGGTACAGGAGACAAAATTTTGGAGGAGGCTGGAAAAATGAAATCTTCTAGTCAAAAGGACTTGCTCATACGGTCTGAGTACAAAGAGAGATGTTCCCAGGACAGCTCTGGAATTCACTTATAGTCTGGAAACCATTATACTGTCATTATTTCTATTTCTTCCTGTAATAATCCAGTTTTTCTAGTATTTTGAGTTATGATTGTTAAATGTATACACATAGGGTTCCAGTAACTTCATGCCTGTACCTTGTATCATTAGTTATAAGTATCTTTGCTCCTATGAAGTTTTTTTTTTTTTGTCTTACAGTTTGTTTGATGTGTGATATATCCACTAACCTTGTATTTTCTTGGGAGTTATCTTTCTCATCTCTTCTCTTTACTCTTTATTAACATTATATTTTAGATATGTCTTTTATTATATAGCATATAGTTAGACTTTGTGTCTGTGGTATATTTTAGTTACCTTTCTGTTGCTGTGAAGAGACACCATTACTTATAAGAAAAGGCATTTAGTTGGGGGCTTGCTTACAGTTTCAGAGGGTGGGTGAGTCCATGGCCATCATGGCAGAGAACATGGCAGCAGGCAGTCACGGTGCTGGAGCAGCAGCTGAAAGCTTTCATCCTGATTTGCGAGTTGGAAGCAGAGAGATGGAGTGGCTGGGCCTGGCATGGGCTTTTGAAATTTCCAGGTCCACCCCAGTGACACACCTTCTCCAACAAGGCCACACCTCGTAGTCTTTCTGAAAACAATTACACCAAGTGCGTGGGGGTGGGGCGGGGCGGGGATTATCACCAAGGATTCAAATGTGTGAGCCTAAGGGCCATTCTTACTCAAAAAAACCACGTATTTGTGCGTGTTTTCACTCTTATACCTGTGGGGGCTGGAGTTTGATCCTGGGTCTCTTCCTAGTGGTTCTCTATTGTATTTTTATTTTTAAGATCACTTTATTTTATTTGGTGTGTATGAACATTTTGCCTGCATGCACATTTGTGCCCAGTGCCTTGGAAGTCAGGAGAGGGCTTTGGATCCCTTGGAACTGGAGTGACACTGTTCGAGCCGCCTTGCGGGTGCTGGGAATGGAATCCAGTGAGTGCTCTTAATGGCTGAGCCATCTCTCCAGTTCATTTTCTGAGACAGGGTCTCATGTAGGCCAGGCTGTCTTAAATTCCCTCTGTAGCATATTGCCAGTTTTCTGATGTTGCCTTCTAAGAGCAGTTAGTTTTATAATTTTTAAAGTGTTTTTATTCATATCTAATTATCAGCAAATTTCATCATTATATGTCCATTATATGATTTGTTTTAATATGTCCTCTTTGGCTCTCCGTGTGCTATTTTAATCTACAGACTTCAGCTATGGAAATTTTCTGGTTTATCACCAGTACTGTGTGCTTCATTGGCTCTCCCCCATCTTCTCTATTTGCAGGCGATATTAGACCATCTGTTTCTAACATCTCTGAAGTGTTCTTTCTTTCTCTTTTTTCCATGTCAGATGGATAATGTGCTGACATCACAACAAAATTTGAGGAGACATGTCTCACACAGCAGCAAGAAAATCCAATCACCACACTTAAAAACACAAAAGGACCTCTTCCAATGTCGTTGTCTTTATGTCTTTCTGGATGATTTCATTCACTTAACAGATTTTTTTTCTTAAGTGTGTTTTAATGTGCTTATTACATACATGAAATTTTTAGTATTAGATGACTATATCTTTCACTTTCTGGGAGTTTCCTGCTAATTATTGCTTTAATTGAATTGAAATTTTGAATATGTAGCATTTTGGTTATTGTTCAACTGAAATGATTTAAATTTTGATTTCTTTGATTCATATGTAATTATATTTCTCAATTTCCAAATATAGTGGAAAGTTTCTAGTCAGTGTTTTTGTTCTGAACATTGAGGTTGTAGCCCAGTAAGTGCCCCTAATTATTAGTCATTTGAAATAGGTTGCAATTTTCTATATGGTTGGTTTTCTGCTATGGTTTGGATGAATGCCCCCCAAAGGCTTGGGCTGCAGGCTGCCACTCTCTGGGGATGGCGAACCCCCCTTAGAGGGGCGCTGATGGGCGGTGCCATGGAGACATCCCCTGGAGGTGGGTTGTGGGGCCACAGGTAAGAAGCAGTCTCTGCCTACCTCCTGGCTCATGAGTTCAGGGTGTTGCTCTACTCACATGTGCCATGTGCTCATCAGAGACCGAGAGCAATGGAACCACCTGATTGTGGATTGGGACTGCCAGAATTACGAACCAAAACATCTCCTTTCTCCCTATAAATTGACCCCCTCGGATATTCCATTTTAGTAATGTCAAGCTAATAGTGTAAATACTCTTCTTTTGTAAATGTCCTGAACATGCACGCCTAAAAATGTACCTCCAGTTCTCTGAGAACACAGTATCTCGGTTTCCCTGCCACATTTCAGAGTTGGTGATAGTACAGAGACCATATGCATTTGTGCCAACCGTGGTTCAGGTTGTGGTGTCTTACTTTTCTTACCCTGGCTCACTGAGTTGGTACAGCGCTCTTGTTCTGCTGAGCAGCAGCAAGCCCAGCCCCAGTCACAAGGCAGTCACGGGTAATCAGCAGTTTTCACGCTGCGGCTTAACTGCTTGTTCAGTGTAAAAAGGGGATTAAATACATTTTTGTATTTAGAAGGGGTTTGTTGAACTGTAAGCCTGTCATAACCTGTGTGTGTATTGTAGGTATATGTGTCCACGTATGTATATGTTCACATATTTAATGTGTAGAGATGCACACATTATGTAAGGTATCAAACTCCAATTCTATGTGTCTAGAATTGTCATAATTTTGTTATTCAACGGGTATTTTCTCTGGCTCTAGAATTCTAGATAGCACTGACTTTAACAAGTAGTGTGTATTCTGGTGTGCCTTCCTCCCGTTGTCCTGCTGAGCTCTAAGTTTGGAAGGCTCTTCCCCACATCTAAGGTTAAGACTTTCTCCAGAAGTCTCTGTTCTTCTTCAGGGTTATATATGTAGTTGCAACTAATATGTAATATGTATTTACTTCTTGAAATTTATTAAACTTACTCAGTCTGAATTTGTTTCTTTCATCTCCGTAGATTATTCCCAGATGTGTCTCAATACCGCCTCTGCTTCTGTGTTCTTCTTCCGTGGCTCCACTGACTGTGTGTTATCCTGCGGTTTAACATGTTTCCTTAGTTTCTTCCTCTGCCACATCCCTGCTGCAGTCTGGCTAATTTTGTGTGGCTTGTTTTTCTGATTTCTTATATTCCCTCTGCCGTGTAAATCTACTATGGAATCTGCTCAGTTACTTCGCCGTGGGCTTATAATTCTAATTTTAGCATTTTGTTTCTGTTTATTGGGGTCTGATGTGTCTTTTCCATGGCTTCTTGTTCACTGTGCACACTTGCAAGGCTGCCTGCGTGGGGGACGGTTAACACTGGCGCTCCTGTTACAGGCCGTTTGCCCCACGTTCCTTCCCTCTTGTGCCTATTTTTTTTTTTCCTTGTACTCATTGTTTGTTCGCTTGCTTTTGTCCTTCCGGTGCTTTGACACAGTGTGGATCTGTAGCTCAGGCTGTCCTTAACTCACTGCAGAGCCCAAGGTGGCCTCAGCTTAGTGTTGGGGTTATAGGCCTGTGCCCCACACCTGACCTTCTCATTGTTTAAAAAGACAAAACCATTCGAATCCAATCAGGACATTTTCTTCTTTTAGAAAGGATTGACGCTGTCTTATGGCAGGTGCCTGGAGTTAATAACCCAGGACCATTTCACACGTGAAGTGTGCAGCTTGATGCTTCCCAGGGGCTCGGGGATGTCAAGCAACGGGGAGGGGGGCGCTGGGGGGCTGGGGAGCTGGGGAGCTGGGGGTCTGGGCTGCAGCTTGAAGGACTCGCCTGGGTTCTGTGCTTTTCCCCCCATTCTTCCTGTCGTTGTTCAGTTACTGCTCACATGGTTACTCTGAGTCACCTTTAACTAGGAGCCGAGTCATTAAACTCCCAGGGTAAATGTGGAGAGGATTCCCGTGTTGGGGAGGGGCTCTAGTCTTTCCCTTCTTTGCTTTTTTTGTCTCTCTCTCTATGTGGTTGAAGAAACCCAAAGTCAGTGTCACTGACTCTCTGAGTACCCAGGGCCTGAGTGGCTTCAATGCCAATCTCCTTCCTGGGCTCCCTCCCTCTCAGCTTTTGGTCCAGGGGTTCCCATGCCTTGTTGTTTTTCTTTTTTGAAACAGGGTCTTGTGTATGTAGCTCAGGTTAGCCTCAGATGTCCAGTCAGTCCTACATTAGCATCCTGTATGATGGAATTTTGTTGCTTTTTTATACTGTTGAGAAAAAATTTTAAGGGGGCTACATAGCAAGACTTCATTTGGAATGTATCAAAAGCAAAGCCTCTACTTTTTTTTAAAGCTAAAATATAATTATATCATGTGCATCTTTCCTCTCTTCTTTCTGCCTACTCTGACCTTTCCATGCTACCCATTCCCACTGAGAATATTAAAACATATGCACCATGTTTTTTTTCAAAAGATAGATGTGTCTGAATATATTGGAAACGATCATCGCCTATTGATAGAAACACACAATTCAAACCCAATAAACGAACAAAAATCAAACACTACGAGCTACCTTACTGAAGTCTTATTTTTTATAGTATCTTTTCAGTTTTGTTTTGTTTTAACTTACCTGGTCATAATGCCCACAAGCAATATTAAACTTTCATTTTAACTGTAGTGGTCCTAACAGGTACCTTCATTTATAGCTATTCTCGACAAGAATGATTTCATGTATTCATGATGCCGTCATTTGATTGTGTTTGTGTGTGCGCTTTATCTGTTTATGTGTGTGTGTGTTTATATTTGCTTTTGGGCTATATTAGGAATCTATGATGAATTTTATTTCATTTCACATCTATTAAAATGATCATATACTTTTGTGACTTCTTTTTGATGAGCTTAGTTATATATTGTCTAATAGAGAATCATCCCTATATTTTTGTATGAATGTTCTTGGTCATTGTATAAGTTATTTATTGCCGCTTAACAAATTACTACAAACTTGGTGATTGTAAACACTACACAATCTATCACAGTCTCTATGAGTCCCGAGTCTGCAGATAATTTAACTATGTCCCCTGAGTTTTGTGTCCTGGTGTTTGCTAGAAGTTTCTTCAGCTCCTTGTCACATGGCCATCTCGATAAACTGCTCACAGCTTGCCAGTTAGTTTCTTTGATAGTAAGTGGGCTGGTGGGAAGGTGTAGTGAGTGAAAGTGTTTGCTGTGGAAGCCTAATGGCCTAAGTTTGATACCCAGGACCCACGATGGAAGGAGAGAACCAACTCCTAAAACTTGTCCTTTGCTCATTACATGCAAATGCTTACACACACTAAAATTTTTTAATTAAAGGAAGAACATTTCTCAACAAAACAGACATTAATCTTGTGTGTATGAGTGTTCATGTGTGATGGTGCATGTATATGTGCTGTGTACATGTATGTGTGTGGAGGCCAGTGGTCACCCTTGAGAGTTACTGATTAGGAGCTATCCACCTTGTTTCTGAGATCATCTCTCACTAGGATCCCTGGGACTCACTGACTGGACTAGCAAGCCCCAAGGAGCCTCCTGACTCCACCTCCCAGCACTAGGATTCCAAGTGTGTGCCACCAAGAGCAGTCATGTGGTTGCTAGGTACCAAATTCAGGTCCTCCTGCTTGTGTGACAGTAACTAGACTATCAGTCTTTGTAGTGTAATCACAAATGTCGTCACATACATCTTGTCACCTTTACTATGTTCTGTTGGTCAGACACAAGTCACAAATTCATACTCTAGATAGGGGATTTATGGTTTCAACCTATACGTTATGAATTCAGATGCAAGTGATAGAAAATGGCATAAATATAATGTTTATTTAACAACTTCAAGTCAGGGCTAGGTGGCAGCTTTGCTTCAGGTAGACCCTGGGGTCTTCAGTTCCTCTCAATTTCACTGTGATGCCATGTCTAAGAAATTACCTTTTCCTTCAGAGATCAGGGAAACAGAGAGCTGTAGATAAGATGCCCTTGTGAGTCTTAGGGGAGGGTACCAGAGGCCATCAACACTTTCACTTGTGTCCTAATGGCTCAGACTAAGTCTCATGGCCAGCCCTGACTGCCAAGGAGGTTGAGAAAGAAATGCAGTCTTGTATTTGTTCATCAAAAATTCTGCTCCTGTGGAGAAGTGCAGAAACAGATCATGGGCACCTTTGAGTCTCTACCACATGTAGGGTAAGGGCTATTTGTTCTGTGCTTTGAAAAAAAAAGTCATAAAGGTACCTGGTTTTGAAATTTGAAAAGATAGCTCAAGACGTTGTCAGTGACTCGGCTTCTTTTTTTTTTTTCTACTCAGTGCCAGTATATTTTTATTATTGTATTACTGGAGATTGAACCCAGGGCTTTGTCTATGCCAAGTGCGTGTTCTACCAGTGTGAGGGTTCATCTTCATTGTCAACCCTCACTGGATATGGAATCACCCAAAAAAATAGGTGTCTGTGAGAGTGTTTTCAGAGGGCTTTAACGGAGGGAACCCCACACAGACTTTGGTGGTGGCATCGGTTGGCCGGGGAGAATGTAAGC